GGCAACCGAAGCGGGACCAGATATGCGGACCTTCCTGACCCTGGCGGAGCGGGAATTTCGGGAAATGGGAATCGCGGAGGCTCAATGGGGTGTACTGATACGCAAATACCTAACAGGTCGCGCAGCAACACAGTGGAATTTCGTAGTTAGGTCAGGAATAGATATGACAGACTGGCAACTGGTGTGCGAAAGACTTTGCGAAAGGTTCCTCGGGTATACGCGGGATGTCATGTTAAGCCAGATGAAAGAAAACGAGTGGACTGGCAATTACAACGAATATTGCAACGAGTTCTCAGACATAGTATCCAATGGAGAAGAACTGCCCGGACACGACCTGATTATGTACTTCCTCGCCGGATTACCCACGGATATCGGAGACGAGCTGACCGACAAAGGCAAGCGGACATTTTCGACGTGGAACGAGGCCGCGAATGCGCTGAGAGCGTACATGGTTCCATTCAATCTGTGGAGGGCCCAGAGAAAACGTGCACTACAGGAGCTGCAGGGTGCAGAGAAGCCGAGACCTAAGCGTAGGAGTCACCTCAGGGAATACGGAGAGGCGAACAGACGCCACAACGAGGCTGTCTACGGCGTCAATCGTAAAACCTATTCGACGGGGAGAACGACGATGGACGGGGAAAGAGATACAACCCGTTGCTTCGAGTGCACAGGCCAGGGGCACTTGGGAAGGGAATGTCCCTTGCGTAATGGCGTAGCAAGACGGAGAGGCGAAACTTGCTCGAAGTGCGGCGGAATGGATCACTACGCTAGGGATTGTGCAACGAACCGTCGAACAACGAACGGAAATCCGCGGGTCATCACGGCAATGCACACAGAGCCGCGGGAGGGAGAGTCACGGTTAAACGAGAAGGCCTAGGCATTGGGGGAGAGAAATGTCCTAGGCCAAAACGAAATAATGGCAGGGCGCACCTAGTAGCATCGGGACCGAATGCCATTAACATCTCCACCCCTGCAAAACGGAATGATCGGACAAACGACGGAAACGAATGCCGGAGACACGGGACGCTGTCGAGCGGAATCCAGACTCACGGGAACGGGAACGGAACCGACGAGAGCGCATCACATGCGGAACGTACTAAGGTAGATCAGACAGGCCAGGAAGAATGTCTTATACCCCCGTGGCTGTGGGCAGAAGAAAACACTGCGGGACAACAGCCTTATGGAACTCTTTGCAGAGTCTGCAGCGGCGGCAAGACTGCGGTCCTGAGGTTGGAAATACTCGGTTATCAGTGTGAAGGTCTCTTGGACACAGGGGCGTCAAGAAGTTTTATCCA